TGAGTGTTCGTAGGCAAATGGATTGAAAGGATTGGATTTTTTGGATGTTGGATGGAGCGGCACAGCCCCAGATTTGAATACCATAAAACCATAGTGGAAAGAGAAGAGTTTTATAGATGAGTGTTTTTAGCTTTAGATTAAGTTTGGAACGTAAGAGAGGGCGAAGTAGATGGAGTCGGGTGTTTAGTTGTTTTCTTTTTTCAGTCGTTTGTCAAAAATGAGGCCTAAGTATTTTACCTTATTATTTTGGGGGAGTAAAGTGTTGTAGAGTTTGACTGGTGGACAGATGTCTGGTCGAAGAGAAAAGATGATGTGGTTTGATTTGGTTGTATTTACTTTAATTTTCCATTCGGTAAACCATTTTTCTAAAAGATTGAGGTGGTTTTGGAGTTTGAAATTTGTTATTAAGTGATCAGCGTCTGATGCTAATATGCTTGTATCGTCCGCAAAAGTATTTAAGATTGTGAAGTTTGATGTAGGTATATCAGCTGTGTATATTAAGTATAAAAGGGGGGATAGGTCACTGCCTTGGGGAACTCCGGCGTTTATAGTGAAATGGTTAGAAAGTGTGTTATTTATATTTACTTGGAAAGAACGTTGGTCTAGGTAAGATTTTAATATTAAGTAGTATGGTGTTGGAAAGTTTAATTTTAGCTTGTGGAGTAACCCTTCGTGCCATACCTTATCGAAAGCTTGGGATATGTCTAAAAAGACACCTGAACAGTATTTTTTTTGTTCAAGAGATGAGGAAATAGCATCGGTGATACGATGGAGTGGGTGTATTGTAGAGTGATTTGCATGGAATCCGAATTGAGAGTGGGGGATGAAAATTAAAGCTTATGTAATATACTTTAATTTAAAAAAAAAAATTTTACCTCTGGACTTGTATTCATGGTGAAAATGGTTATCAAATGCTATTTTTGTGTGAAAATTCTCGATTTTATAATTTATATTTTTTACTTTATAATGCTATAACTTATTGAAAAGTGCATGGATCCACACAATTTTTTCCTGAGAAATTTTTATTTTTTAATAAACCCTTTTTCGTTTGACATACTTTATCTTAATCGGTATATTAATAAGGAACCAGCAGATCATGTAGCTTTTGGAATAAAACACCAATTTTTTTAAAATTTAACACTATCTAAAGATTTGCATCGAAGCGTTTTTTTTGATAGTGATTTTAATCACTGTCAGATATCATAATACTTGATCCAATTATACCACGACACCACTGTGCCGCGACCCCCCTGTGCTGGGTTTTTTTAGTTTTAATTTCAATTGAAAATAATTTTTTATTTGAACAAGATAATATTTACGATTATCTTTACTCATTATTAAAATACACTTATGGAAACACTCACATTTATTTTATATATTGTATATATTACTGAAATTGCCTAAATAGTAGTTCAGCAAAAATAATTGAAAATTTTTTTTTTCTTAAAGAAAATAGACTTTAATTACTTTATTTTTTTTGAGTGGATAAAATTAATATATATACCCACTAATTATTATTTTTCCTAATTAAAAATATCATTATTAAATTAGCAACTTAAAAGTCTATACAAAAAAGAAATAGAGATAATTATTTGACTAATTATTAATTAATAATATAATGATATCAACTAGAGCAATGAGATATTATGAAGAGTATGCGTCAATTATACAACTAAAAAATAATACATACCATCCTTGACATTAAAGGATAATTGAATAATTTTAATCGATAATTTATGTCTTTTTTAAATTAAATCCAGTAACTGCATGAAGAATAAAATTACTAAATGAATTTATCTTAAGACAAAAACGAAAATGCTGATAAATTATTTATTTATTTTAGTTTCACCATACAATAAAGGTAAGTTTTAAAAATTTCTAATAGTTATAAAAAGTAGCACTTTTTAAAAATAATATTGCCATTTATATCTTTTAATATTTTTATATGGTATTTCGTATTTAAAAAAATAAATTTATTCTAAACAATAATATAGAAACATTTGATATCAGTTACTATTTTTAGATGGAACAGTAAAATGTCCGATTTGCTTGACAAAATCCAAATTACATGTTCTTTTGAACAAGTGTCTCCACTCTTTTTGTAAAGGTTGTATTGATATACTAGTATATAGAAATGAAAATAAATGTCCACTTTGTAGAGCAAAATTTAGCCATTACATTGACGAAGTCGAAGGTATTATAACAAAATAAATCGAAAATATTTTTATAATGGTGTATGACTAATAAAGTTATTGATGATTAGCAAAGCTGCATCTAGAGTGGCTGGCAAAGGGTGCAGGTATCTTAAATGGTAGATTTTAAGAGCAACTGTAAAATTTGAATGTATATTATAAATTTGAGGACTTCTATTTTTAAATAATGTAATAAAAAATGATCTATGCATAAAAAATTGAAAACAATTTTCTATAAATTAAAGAATTTCTAAATACTGTCCTAATGAATAGTCAAAGATAATAAAACATACTGTTATCTCTCATTACTGTCACTGAACATTTTTAGTTGGTAACGCAATACAAGTTACAATTCTAATCGTGTAGTATTACTGCTGGAGTTATTATCTCAGTCGGTGTTCATGATGCTACATAAAGTAGAGTTGTTTATTAATAGGTTTGGTAGCATAAGTAATGGAGACTTTAGTCTTTTAGTCCTGGATAAACTTTATCAATGATTTCACACTGATTAAACCAATAAAATTATACATTTTTTAGCAAATCACTGAACACGTATCAGAGTATACAACTAATGTATTTCCACTTTAATATCATAGGAACTGAATTTATATGAAATAGTAAAATATTGTACATGTATCTATAAACCCAACTCAAATTGATCCAGATTAAATTAATAATAATAACTGTAATATATATATATATACTTCCATGTTAATGACACTAAATTTACTATTATAGCTATTTCCTTATTANTACTTCCATGTTAATGACACTAAATTTACTATTATAGCCATTTCCTTATTATACACCCAGAGAAAAACCTCGATCTATATAATAAATTCATTGTTCAATTTGATAAATATATCGTTACTATTGAATCAATGATATATTTATCAATATGATATTTTTTTTTCTTGTCTTGAACAATAATTATTTATAAGAATAGTTATTTTGTTCGTATTAATAAAACATTATCATAAACCCTTGATAAAATTTCTCTTTCAATTTTGATTGAGGTTTTTCTTTGGGTGTACAGAGTATTTTTTAAACATTATTTAAACGATTTTTTGTAAATTTTTTTCTTGGGGGATTTGTAAATTAAACATGTATTCCTATTTATGTTATATAGATTATAGGTCCATTACTTATATCTTATAGGGTTGTCAGTTGTATTATTTTCGATGGCAATATTTATATTTAACTGGCTTATAAAAAGGAAAATGATCTAATTACAAGTATTACTGATCAATAACATGGTTTTGTCTAATACTTAAAAAATTATTAAAAATTAAAAATATAGATTAGATTTAAAAAAAGGATGTTGCTATTTACATTATAAGTCATTTTTCGGCTGTTTTCTCCTTCAAACAAGGTACTAAAGTTGACATCGACCAATCCTTTCCTTAACTAGTATAATTGATAATTCATTAGCCAATAAAATATGTATGATGCTTTAAAAAAAAATTGAATTTACACATCTGTAATACATATGAGATAAACATGAAAAATATTTATAACAGATACATGGAAATACATGTAAAGCAAGGTCTTGGACACTCTAATTGTATACAAAAATTGGTAGCAATTTTATTTTAAGTAATGTTATCATTTTTGTGAAAGTGATAAAAAATAAATTTTTTTTTATTTTGTTAATATGTAGATTTATCCAACAGTTTTATTATTTAATTATTCGTAATCTTTATATAAAAAACACATAATATTGAAATACGAAAGTTTTAAATTTATCAAAAAAACTTTTTCAATTATTATTCAATTTTAGGGCAACGTTTTTTTAGCAATTTGGACATACTGATTAATCTGCATTATAATGTACGATTGATTTAATCACCTTCCTTTATTGGCTAATGAAAATTTTTATTAGTGTCCATTATGTATGAAATGTAAAGTAACTATCAAAAGCCAAAAATATCAAACATTTATTATTTTTAGAGAAGTGAGCTAACTGCATTAAAAGAATCATCTTGATACAAAATATGTGAATAGATACTTTAGTAAATTGATCTCCGTTGTACAAATCGATCTATGCAGTTAATAATTTATTTCAACCGAACGAGATAGATTGTATAATATTTATTAGCAATTAATTAATTTTTAGGACAATTTTTTAAATTGGAAACATATTTATTTAGTTGACCTTAAGATAAGAAAATTATCTGATTAAGAAAATTACTGTTATTAATATACCTTGACGCCACGAAGAGTGTGGTTGGGAAATAATAAGTAATAAAAATAGCAGCACCTTCTCCTCAAAACAATTCTTAGGTTAAAATTTTTATTAACTTCCCTAATACTATCTTAACAGTTATCGGACAATCATTTTTTTAATAAAATTATTTATATTTTTTAAAAGCTAATTAAATGCATATTTTTCGATCAAAAAAATAACTTGATATCCTTAATAGTCATAAGGGAAATAAAAGTCCCTATTGACCGATGTCAATTTCTTGTTTGAGCATTATTGGAATGATATAATTTTATTACATTCAATAGTATCAAATACACATAGTGTCCTTAGCCTAATAGACATAGTCAATCCAGTAGTGTCAGATTTCAGTCTTCTCCTTTCCTTCTAGATCTAAAGTATGAACTTAATAAATAGATACAATTATAAAACGTTAGATTTGTCATTTACATTCAAATTACACTATGCTCTAGTGTGATAGAACCTCGGCTAGTGGTGAATTCAACTTTGTTGAATTTATGTGTCCTCATTGGTGAAAACCTTACGGGTAGAAGCCAATAAACGTCACAACATACTTAAAGTTATTTATATCATTATTAATAAAATAAAGAACTGAAAAAATTAATGTTCTAAAATTTATTTGATATATTTATATAAAACTTTAATATGTTATATAATTTACTTTTTAATAAATTTAAGAATCTATGCTTGCTTGAAAATATTAGACTATAGTACTAAGAAAGTACTAAATGCTTATAAATATTTTAGGTAATATAATTAGTACGTATAGTTTGATTGAATATTATGCTGCAGCACATTACCTGGATGTATGTATTTTCTTGTTCACGAGAGAAGGTGAATGGATGTTCTTTGACAAAATCAGGCCTAATTACTCTGAAGAATATATGGACAACAAAAAGTGTATTTATCTCTTCCAACATAAGCATGAGAACATTGGCGTTGTCGTAGATATAAACGAGCTATCTTTGTTTAGAGACTTTATAATGTTTTAAAAATATTTAAAGAAGATAAATGTATTATTAAAATGTCTTTATTTTAAATAATAACAATAAATAATTTGATTAAAGTAAAAAAAAAAATTTATTGTTTAATTTATCTTTGACCATTACGTTATTCCAAAATAATAATTAAAAAAAAAATTAGATTTTTAAGTAGCAATTATTTTAGGTTCAATGCGTAGCTGTAAATTTATTACTTTTACCATGAAATGTTTTTTTTAGCTTCGGTGCGAAGCTGAAAAGATATTAATTTTACCATGATGTGTTTATTTATTTTTTTTTTGTCTGTCACTACATTTTCTCAGCTCACTGGATTGATTTCTTTCAACAATACGTCAAAAGATCACAAATCATATCTAATTGAAGACATTACCTTTAAAAATTGAAAAATTTTCTCTCGTTCCCCGCATATAGGGGAAATCTCCGAAAAAATAAAAATTTTTAAAATCGGTAGATGTCATTTTTTTCACTTTTTTTTCTTAAAACTTCCATAATTTTTTCAAAAATAAACGAAACAACATGAATGTTTTAATACTAAAACCTTAGATATTTCCCTTTTGTTTGATATCATTTTTTTGAATGCCAACACTTAACCTGCCCATTGGGGAGGGTTTTAAAATAGCAACTTTTTTACAAAAACTAACTTTTTCAACTTAAATTTTAATTTAAATTAAATTTTGAAAATGTTCCGGAAATACTGCGTCCTTTAAACATATATCAAATAAAAGCTCATTTTATGTACTATAATATGAAAAAAAAGAATTTGTCCCGACACTTTATCATCTGCATGTAAACGGTTGCCGTAGTTAAAAAAACACTATATTTGTTATTATGTCTACCTCGAGTGAAGTAAGTCCTCACAGTATGTTGGTTCTCTGTTAATATGTCGTCGAATAAAAAGATAGAGTTTTTTAGAAGATTTTCTGGAGCGGGGATCTGGTCAGCTTGATCGAATGTGAACATATTCATCCCATTTATACCTCCTATAATATCATTTAACATTCNCATATTCATCCCATCTATACCTCCAATAATATCATTTAACATTCGATACTTCGGTTGATCACAAGTTTTTGAATAAAGATAAATATTTTCAAATTTTAATCCGTTTTCACTTGTAAGTAAAGAAAATACCGCATTGGTTTTTCCCCCGCCGGAGGGGGCCAGAATAAGAACTCGTAATGAGTTTGGGAAAAAATCACCGTGTTTAGATTTTATGTTGTTATAACTTTGAGGTAGATCAAAATTAGGAACGGAAATTTTTTTTTCTTGCGGGGTTAACTTCATTCTTTTTACTATAAATACGAACGTCTTTAACTTGCCCAGGTCAAAAGATGTCTACACGTCAAGTGACTAAGAACAATAGAGGAGGTTCGCTTTTGAACAGCCTTATAAATAATTTACCAACAGAAATTCATATTCCAGGGTATCAGTAAGTATAATTTTTTTAATATTAGTAATTTATATGTAGTTATGAATATTTATTTATTTTAAAGGTTTGCTGGACCGGGCACTAAGTTAGCGTAACGCCTTGCACTCGGGCAAACCGGAATAAATAAAGTAGACTCTTTGTGCTTAAAACACGATATAGCCCTGCACAAACTAAGGAACCCTGGTGTTGCTACAACTTTGAAAGGTCTGTGTTCTTATACTACATCTGAAATAAATGCGCTTAGCGCTATCGGGTTTGACGGCTCTACATTTACCAATACTAATTTTATGAGTAATGACTATTTCTCAGTGTGTATACCGCTAAGACATTTATTTGGTTTTTGCGAAGATTATAAGCGTATACTTATGAATTGCTCACAACAATTAATACTTAATAGAGCATCAAATGATATGGATGCGTTACAGATATTTGAAACTGATAATACAAAGGCCATAGAGTTATCAAAGACTAAAATAATTCTAAATAAGGTTTTATGGAAAATGCCAATGATTAAAGTAGCTAACAAAGAAAAATTACGATTAATGAAGGTAATAGATAGTCATAAATCTATTAAATGCCCTTTTAGAACATGGGAACTGGCAGAGTACCCGTTTTTACCTACGAATACTCGGCATTCATGGTCTGTACGAACATGTAATAATTTAGAGAAACCTAGATATGTTATTATAGGATTTCAAACAGACCGTAAAAATACAGGATCAAAGTCTATGGCTGTTTTTGATCATTGCAATTTGACAAATCTTAAAGTATATCTAAACACACAAGTTTATCCATATGAAGATTTTAGAGCTGACTATCCGAATAACCTTTATTCTTTATTTTACAACTCATACATACAATTTCAACGAACATATTACGATAGAGATTGGGCTTCACCATTACTTAACCATTCAAAATTCAAAGATATAATGCCTGTTGCTGTTATTGATATGAGTCGACAGGATGATGATATAAAAATTAACTCTGGTTTGGATTTAAGATTAGAATTTGAATTTTCCAATGCGGTTCCAGAGAAGACTACCGCTTATTGTTTAGTAATTCATGATCAAATAATCATATATAACCCGTTTTCGGGTGATGTTAGAAAATTATAAATAATAATAATAATTTTATTAATATCATTGTATATATATAAATATATATTGTATTTTATATTTTTTTAAATAATAATAATAATAAAAAAAAATTTTTGAAAAAAAAATTGTTTTTTCATTTATTAGTAAAAAATAAAAAGTAATGTTATTATATTGTAAGATAATTAAAACATTTTACAATGTACTAACACATACTAGAACANAATAATAAAAAAAATTTTTGAAAAAAAAATTGTTTTATCATTTATTAGTAAAAAATAAAAAGTAATGTTATTATATTGTAAGATAATTAAAACATTTTACAATGTACTAACACACATACTAGAACATATATTATTAATAAAACTTAAATAAATAAATAACTACGTTTTTGAATAATATAAAAAATATATTTGAAAAATGATTTATGTATATACATATTATAAGAAAATAAAGTAAAATTAATCAAAGCTTAATTTACGAAAAACCGATCTTGTACTACAAGATGGAGAAAGTTTACGTTTGCGAGGTGTTAGTGAATATGTAATAAACAAAAAGAAAGACCGGTTGGAGTGTAGGTATGTAGTCTTGTAATAAATAAAATGGCTATAATAAGGTGGCGAAGGAATGTTGTTGAGTGTGTTTGGGGCTCGGGGTGTGAAAGGGAAGAAATGTATTGAAATGTAACACAGGTGGCCAATAAGGAAATAATAATCGTAGCAGGCGTAGTGTAAAAAGGATGGGTACCAATTAAAAAAAAAAAAATAATTATCACTATAATACATCAATAATATATATGTATATATATGTGTTTAAACATTAGTGTTTGAAATAAATTATATTTCAAATTCTAACGTTTAATTTTTTTCTCACCTTATTTTGTATAATTTGATTTTTGTAAACTTCTTTTGCTATATAGTCATCTGCATGCATCAATATTTGTTGCGTGAAATCTGGTTCATTGGCATTTATATTTATACAAGACGGAAATTTTTCATGATTACGAATAAATTTTTTTATTGAATTTTCTGATAATTCCTCTATTTTTTGCTGCGAAAAATAACTAATTATAGTTTCGACTTGTGATTTAATAATTTTTTGCCTATATGATAATTTTTGTATAACAGATTCATGAATAACAAATTCTAGTTCTTGAAGTTTAAGTACGTTTCTCGCAGTTAGTAAAATTCTCGAGTTTTTAACAACTCTTGATTGAAGTATTATAACATTTTCTGTTCTATAAAACGCTTTTGAGATAACAACATCCGGATCCTCATTTATTAACACAAATTCGGACTTAATAGGTACAGTCGATAAAACATTAGACAGCAACTGCCCCATGTATCCGAATAAACGATTAATAAACCCCTCATTAATGCATATATGTCTCCAAGGTGTGACAATATGTGCTTTAATTTGTAGTGTAATAGAATCAAATCCAATTTGAATTAACTTACGTTCTCTGAAATCAATGTTGAATGATGTAACGTCCAATAATTCGGAAGGTGGATTTGGCGGTGTGTATTTTGGCCATCTATTCAGTATCTTTCCGAAGTCATTTTTTCTTATGTACGAGACCGGATAGTCCATGTTAGAAGAGTTTCTGTAAGATGTGAACATGTTCATGTTGCTGACTCGATGTTGACTGTGTTAAACTGTAAAACTTATATCGAGTAATGAAGTATTTTACTCTATTTTATAGCTCATAGAGAGATTCTAACTGAATCACTCAACCAATGAAATTATTATATATTTTTTTAATTTTAGTAGGGATGAAAACACCCACACATAAATGTTTTTAACAGGTTAAGACCCCCCCCTCGATTCGATATTGATGATTTTTTTAACCTTCTAAGAAGTTTATTGATAAATAACGAACCCCATATAGAGAGATATTCAGAAATCTCTATAAGGGTGGGGGGGACCCATTATATATTAAAAATATGAACACCTGTATTAGCCAGTAAAAACCAAATTCGATTCGGTCAATTCTCTATTTTAACCTTCCAAGAAGTTTATTCATATATAACGAACTCTATAGAGATATTGAAAAATCTCAATATGAGGTAAAAACCAATATCTTTCAAGTATCTTAACCGGTAGAAACCATATTCAATTCGGTTAATACCATAGTTAATTTTTCAACGGGTGTAAATCATGTTTGAATAATATTACACATAAACTGTGTAAAACTTATAACTTTTAAATAAAATATACGTTTTTCAGTTTAAACTTAAAATATTCGTTAAGATGTAATTATTATAATAACCTATAGTATTACACCAATCCTAATAGTAAAAATTTTATATACCAGATAATATTTAGTATATATATATATGAGATAAAATAAAATTTAATTTTGAATATTACACTACATTTTTTGTTTGAATAATAATTTTTAATCTGACTAAGTGTAATCATTAAGAGATAAATAATATTATTATTATTATTATTAATACATAATATTAGTGATTATATATATATATATTATATGTTATAAATATTAGAGTATTTCTATACCTAACTATAACCGTTGATTTTTTTTAGTATCCAAACAATGAGTTTGACAATGAAAAAAAAACGTTAACATCATTTGATTTAATTCTATTGACTTCAATAGGCTACACGGGTATTCAATAATATAATAAATTATTATTATCAGATAATAATAATTTTTACACAAAAAATCACCAAAAACCCAGTGAAATACATACGTATTTAACAATTTTCAATCAATTCGTTTTAAAAATCTCTAATAATAATAATAATTTAAAAACACTGTTATCATATTCATGATTATTAAATTAACACACAACGGTACAAAATTAGTATATAAAACGTTTTATCAAGAATAGTTGTGACGTCATGTATGTAACAATGCATACTATCGTCATCACCACCATCGCCGCCCGCGAAAGAATTTTCTAGATGATGCTTATTGTGTTAGAAAATTATATATTTAATAATCAGCTAATCTACCATCAGGCTATTTTGTTAGTAAAAAGAAAAATATACTACTTCACTAGACCTAATTTTTTCAATGATACGTCAAATAATTCATTTAAGTTTATGATATTTAAGTTAATGATTAGTTTAAGTTATTACTCTTAAAAATCAAAAAAATATTCCTTATTAAAATAAAAAGTAGCTTAACCAGCTTTTTCCATACAAACAATTAAAATCATTAATTTTTAATATTCTTAAAGTATTTATTGTCGAATTAGATTTGATATGGTAAAAGTATTCAACTACAATAATTTTACTTTATAATTTATTAATTTTTTAACTCTATTTGTGTGTGCTACTACCAGTCTATAATATGCCAAATTTTTTTGTAATATGTTTATATATAAATCATTTCTAAAAAAAATGATTATTTTTACAAATATATTCAAATTTTATAATACGCTAAATTGAGTAAATCTTTTTAATAACTTTGTTATGATAATTTATTTATTTATTGTTTTACATTTAGTTGAAGTAAATCATTAAAATTAATTAAGTTCTGAATATTTCAATTGCAGAATTTTTTTATACACCAAAAGTTATTAGGAAATTATTACTATTCTTTCTATTTCAGTTATCTATTACGATAAAAATGCAAAAAATTCGAATTTTTCTGATAAATGTACTGTAAATAGTAATTATAAAATTTCCTGATTGCATATTAATCTTAAAAATATCATTTTTTTCAATTTAATAATGTCAATTTCAAACTTGCAAGTTACACTATAAGTTATGGTAACAAATTCATTTTTTTTTTATTAAAATTTTCACTTTAAAGGACAAAAAAATGTAGGTTCAAAATGATTACTTTTAACATATTAAAAATCGATAATAATTTGAAAATAATTAATTATAAAAATTATATAATATATAATAAAAAGAATTACTAATCTGGATATAATTAAGGAAATAGGAGTTCATGTTGGGTTGGGTTGATTACATTTTTAACTTTATAATGCTATAACTCATTGAAAAGTGTATGAATCAACATAATTTTTTTATGAGAAATAATATTTTTTAATAATCCCTTTTTCATTCGACATTAATCAGGGTATTAATAAGGAACTAGCAGATCATGTATCATTTGTAATTATCCACCAATTTCTTAGAATTAAACACTATCTACAGATTTGCATCGAAGCGTTTCTTATGATAGTGATTTTAATCACTGTCAGATTAAATCTATACTGGACCCAACTATGCAACGTCCCCACTATGCCGCGAACCCACTGTGTTGGGTTTTTTTTAATTAAAGCTTATGTAATATACTTTAATCATAAAAAACGCTTCGATGCAAATCTTTAGATAGTGTTTAATTTAAAAAATTGGTGGATTATTCCAAAAGCTTTTTAAACTGCTAGTTCTTTATTAATATTCTGATTAAGATAAAGTATGTCGAATGAAAAAGGGATTATTAAAAAATAGTATTTCCCATAAAAAAATTATGTTGATNTTCCCATAAAAAAATTATATTGATCAATACACTTTTCAATAAGTTATAGCATTATAAAGTTAAAAATGTAAAAAATAAAATTGAGAATTTTCACACAATAATAGCATTTGGTAGCCAATTTCACCCTGAAGACAAAATAAAGTCCGAATTTTTTGTTTTCATGACAAAGCATATTACATTACCTTTAATTTAAGATATATATATAAAAGTGTCAGACCTTCCGGAACATTTTCAAAATTTAAGTTAAAAAAATTAATTTTTTGTGAAAAAGTTGTCATTTTAAATCCCCCCTTGTGGGCAGGTTAAGGGTTAAATTTATGAAAAAAATATACNAGTGGCCACGTATTGGGTCATATATAAAAATAAAAAATACCAAATGATAGGTTTGGATTAGGACATAATGCATCTATAAAAAAAATAATTATATTGATCCATAGATCTTTCAAAAATTTATAGCATTATAAAGTTAAAAATATAAAAAAGAATTTTTTTACAAAAATCGTATTTTTTTCATTAACTTTGATGTCTGTTTTCATCATGAAGATAAGATAAAGTCCGAAAT